ACCATGGCAACATCATTCCTCAAAATCAAAAATCGATACACGGAATTGTGTATCTTAGTGTAGTCTACTCCTGCGCCAAGTTATACTGAAATCAGACCAAAACTGTAGGAGGAGTAGCATTTTGAAAGTATTTCACAGAAATTTCTGTTTTTTAATAACCACGGCAACACTATTCATCGAAATCAAAATTCGATATACAGAATTATGTATCTAAGTGTAGTTCACTTGTGTGCTAAGTTATAGTGAAATCAGACCAAAACTGTAGGAGGTGTAGCATTTTGAAAGTATTTCACAGAAATTTCTATTTTTAGTAACAAAGGCAACACCGTTCATCGAAATCAAAAATCGATATATAGAATTATGTATCTAAGTGTAGTCTACTTGTGTGCTAAGTTATATTAAAATTAGACCAAAACTGTAGAAGAAGTAGCATTTTGAAAGTATTTCACAGAAATTTCTATTTTTAGTAACCACGGCAATACCGTTCATCGAAATCAAAAATCGATACACAGAATTATGTATCTTAGTGTACGCATTACTATCGCATAAGCTTTTCTGGTCTCTGACCAGTAGAGCTAAAAACGTAGGTCCCGTGTCACGGTAGGCGCTGGCACGATAAAGAACCCTCACTGCTCAATGGCCTTGAGTGCCAAGTATAGGTCTAAATTTGAAGCCCTTCACCGGCATACGGTGACGTCTCCATATGAGTGAAAAATTCTCGAGAGGGACGTTAAACAATATACAATCAATCAATCAATCAAAGAGGCATCCTTCCTCCTCATAACTATGTACATAGTTCATTGGTTTAATATCCAGGTGCAGAAAAGAAGATTTTTAAAGAGTTTATGCATTTTCACTATATAAACAATATATATAGAGCCCCACCCTAACACCAGAACCCCTGACCCTAGGGCCATAAAATTCACGATTGTGGAAGAGTCACTCTTACTCATCATAACTATGTACTTAGTTAGTTTATTTAATACCCAGGAGCAGAGAAGAAGATTTTCAAAGAAATAATGCATTTTCACTATATAATCAATAGAGCCCCGCCCTAACACCGGAACCCCTGACCCTGGGGCCATAAAATTCACAATTTTAGAAGAGGCAGCCTTATTCATCATAATTATGCACTTGGTTAGTTTATTTAATGCCCAGGAGCAGAAAAGAAGAATATCAAAGAAATAATGCATTTTCACTATATAATCTATATAGCCCCGCCCTGCCATTAGAACCCCTGACCCTGGGGCCATTAGATTCACAATTTTAGAAGAGGCAGCCTTATTCAACATAACTATGCACTTGGTTAGTTTATTTAATGCCCAGGAGCAGAAAAGAAGTATATCAAAGAAATAATGCAATTTCACTATAATAATCTATATGGCCCCGCCCTAGCACTAGAACCCCTGACCCTGGGGTCATTAAATTCAAAATTTTGGAAGAGGCAGTCATTTTCAACTCAACTATGCACTTGGTTAGTTTATTTAATGCCCAGGAGCACAAAAGAAGAATTTCAAAGAAATAATGCATTTTCACTACATAACCTATTTAGCCCCACCCTAGCACTAGAACCCCTGACCCTGGGGCCATGAATTTTACAATTTTGGTAGAAGACTTAATGCTGATTACAAGCATACCAACAGTTTGACTGCTTGATGTCCAGGAGTAAAGAAGAAGATTTTTAAAGATTGCTCTAATTTTAGTGGTTTTAGCCCCACCCCAGCCACCCCCAGGCCCCAGGGGGGCAGGGACCATGAAATTCACAATTTTTGTTCCCCTTCACCTATAGATGCTATATTCCAAATTTGGTTGAAATTGGTTCAGTGGTTTCAGAGAACTAACTGAAAATGTTCAAATGTTAACGCACGACGGACGACGACGGACGAAAACAGATAGCAATAGGTCACCTGAGTTTACTCAGGTGACCTAATAAATTCTTATATTCTTAAGATAGTCGCCCGCGTGACGAAATGGTAAAAGCGTCTCCTCTAGAGTCGCGAAATAAAGAGTTGAGTTCATCTTTACATGTACGTCGCAGGTTCGAATCCCAATGTGGGACGTGGAGACCGGTCCTCGAGGTCCCGTCGCAGTAAGTGCTGGCACGAGAAGATCCCTAACTGCTCAATGGGCCTTAGTGCCGAGTTCAGGAGAAAATTTCAGCTCTCCAAGTGGTGGCGTCTCCATATGAGTGATTTGTATAGTTTATGAAAGAGCTTTAATAAATAACCTAGCAATGCATTGTATTTAGTTCAAAAGAAGGTATGGTGTCAATACAAATTTTTCCCTGTGATTTTTCTAAAATATGAAACTGGTGTAAAAGTTGAAAACGCGTGGTTTTAAATAATTGAAATTCAATGCAGAAAAATCATACAAATCATTTTTCTCACATGTGTTTTTAAATGTTAATTATGACGTCATAAACATGTGCATTTTCCGGTATCTTCTTAAAAAGTTTCAGAAGACACCGATTTTCAATGGAATTTTCTTTCAAATAACATTGTCCACAGGCGTCGCCCACAAAGATCTTGAGATATGTTATTTGTTATTGAATTTTGCACAAAATATAAAAAAAAAATAACGTGGGCGACGGCTGTGGACACTGTATTCTAAAGGAAAATCACCCTTGAAATGTGCCATTTTGAGGCTTTTTCTGTTGAAAATAGAGAAATGCTTCACATTAATGACGTCATATTTGCAGAATGGTAAACATTCATGCCATATTCTTTCCTGATTTATCATAGTGATTTATTTAACTAATATTTAAGCCAGTTTCAAAACTTTTTGATGTTCATTATATTTTTAGGGCACTATAAAGCTAAAACCATATCTTCTTCTTTGGCATTTATCAAATGGATTCTATCTTTGGTCCACTTCAACTGAGCCCTGTTCACGAGATCCCCTCGATCGCAAGTTAGAAGACATAAAAGTCAATACTGTGAAGAGTAATGTATTTTTAAGAATGAAAGGTCCGGGGACTGATGATTCAAGTAAGAAGTACAAAGAATGATAACTCTGATTTTATTTTATTAAATGTAAAGGTAAGGATCCCTTAATTGCCTCATTAAAAATAAAGCATTAGTACCATTGATAAATTCTGCATACAGTTACATTAAACACTTTTTCTTCATAAGGTAGCTTAAATATATATGAAGAATTTCCTTCATCGCAATTGCCATAAATTTTTAATTGATATTTTATAATAACTCAAAATAATGACTCTTCGATTTGATTATTCCTATAATTATACCCTCGCTTGAGTCGCCCGCGTGTCGCAGTGGCAAGAGCTTCTGCTCTAGATTCGCGAAGTAAGGAGTTGATCTTTACGTCGCGGGGTTCGAATCCCACTAAAGGACTTGGAGACCGGTCCTTGGAGACCGTATAAACCGTAGTCCCAGTCGCAGTAGATTCTGTCACAAAAAGATCCCTCCCTGCTCAATGACCTTAAGTGCCGAGTATAGGACAAATTTTGCAGCTCTCCATCGGCTAGTGTAGGCGTCCCCATATGAGTGAAAAATGCTAGAGAGTGACGTTAAACAATATTCAATCAATCAATTATTTAAAACTCTCCGCTTGAAAAGTTGGCTGGGTATATAGTTAAGCGGGATATCTGTACGTCCATCTGTTTTTGTGGGTTTCAGATTGAATAGTAGTTCTATGAATAATCTTGATTTATCTTTTCAGCGATCAAACATACCTGTTTTGCACGACGGCGTATTCGTGCCATATTGACAATGTAGAGAAAGTTTTAAAAATTCGTTTGTACGATTTTTAAATCGTTTGAACGATGAAGAAAATCGTTTGTACGATTTAGAAAATCGTTTGTGCGACTTTTTAAAATCGTTTGTACGATTTTTAAAAAATCGTTTGAACGATTTAGAAAATCGTTTGTACGATTGAAACATCGTTTGTACAATTTTTATATCTTGTTATTACACGTAAAAGAAGCGTAGTAGAAAACCTTGCACAAGAATGACAACGTATCCACGCATAGTTAAATGAATGACACGATGAATGACAGAGAAAAATTGATCAGGGGATATTTCAAGATGAGTTTCACTTTTTCTGAAATTGCACAGACCCTTTCGCAAACTCACCGAATCTTTGTTAGTGAACCAATGTTGAAAAGGGCAACAGCTAAGTTGGAACTGTTCAGACGTAAGAACAAATCCGACGTAGGTGATGTAACTCTTGAGGAAACACCTGAATCATGTGGTCAATTGCATGGATACAGGTAGTTGTACTGGAAAGCTATTATGGCAGGGTTTACCGTTTCTCAAGAAGATACTCGATGTCTTCTTTCTATACAAGATCCGGAGGGAGTGTATTTAAGGAAAAGAAACAGATTAAGACGAAGATTGTACACTAACAAAGGTCCAAATTACGTATGGCACGTACATGGATATGACAAACTGAAACCCTTCGGGATAGCAATGCACGGCTGTGTCGAACCCGATTATACAAGTGATCATAAAAACATTCTGAATGTAATCGTGATATGATGGTTTACTAATTGTAACATTACAACAATACTGAATACAGTTTATTTAACAAGATACATTTATTATGTGTTTCTGTGCCTGTTATAGTCAGCAGCGAAGGGATCGACTTCTCTAACCATAGCTTTAACAGATTTCTTATCCAGTACACTTCTGTTCCCAATCAGAAGAAAAAAATCGTACAAACGATTTTCTACATCGTATAAGCGATTTTCTAAATCGTTTGTACGATCTTTTTAAATCGTAGAAACGATCTTCTAAATCGTTCAAACGATTGTACGATTTTTAAAAAATAATTTCTCTACATTGTCAATATGGCACGAATACGCCGTCGTAGTTTCGTGTAATGCAAAATTATCATGATTTTTTTTGTAAAGTAAAACATCTGTTTTCATCTTAACAAAGCCCATTGTCACACCCAACATTATGATTTTAAGTTAAGTTGGATACCGTAGCCTTAATGTGTAGCACCCATCCCACTTTAGTCCAGGTAACACACAATTATTTAAAGTGCATTTGGCGCATGCGTATATTCAGCTAAAAGTACTAGAAATTTCACAAACAAGGGAATGGCTTCTCCCCAAGCAGGTTGGTGATTTTTTTAAAATATTTTTTTAAACTATTCGATGATTTTGACGAATATGTGGACGATTATGTGGTCGAATAATTTATGCAACGGATCTAGTGTTATATATAAACACGTGTGTACATGCATCACTGATCCACATATTGAAAATATACTTGTACATAAATTTACTTAGCTTTTATATACATGTCTATTGCGTTTTAATCAAACTAAGGTAAATTTTTTGAGAACATAAAATACTTTTAACAAAATATGAGTTATACTTTGAAATATTTCTGTAAACTCGTACTTCCTGGTTTTCGTATGTAAACATATCTGATAAGAACGTATTCTGAATAGGAACATTATCAACATTCCAGACTCAGACCATTAACCTTTTTGTACCTGTACCTTTCTCGCAAAACTACTACCTGTAGTTCAATGCATAGATTCTATTTGACCCAGACTGTGTCTAACAAATTCTTATTAAAACTCTACTTTCGTTTTTCAGGGGTGGCTTATCAGCCTATGAATTTTGATCAAGGTGTAGCCGCGCCGTATACACTGGTAAATGTTGATGGAAGTGGTAATATTATCCAGGTAAAGTTGGGAGAAAACAAATATACTAAACTAAAATATAAAAATAACATTGGAAGCATTCTTTTTTTAACGCATGTCAATCGACGCTATGAAAATCATAAAGATGAATAATAAAGATTCCATTGGATGGACCAAAATCATTAGACAATCTTACTAATAGTTTTTCGACAACTTTATCTTGCAGCCTCAAACCCAGAATCGGCCACAGACCACAAACCTGGATATTTTTATGTGGGTACTGGCTGCGTTTGGAACAGTTGTAGCATGTCCGTTCGGCATATTCTCGATATGCTATGCATACATGGTAAGCAAAAACAATATACTATATTCACAAGTTTACATGTTCAATAAAATAAAATTTATGAAATATTTAGGGAAAAGGGGAAGGGTTAATGCATCTCTCGGCTAAAATTATTAAATCTAGATAGAAAATATTGAGGTGTCATGAAAAAACCGTTTTTTCAGTACTTGTATACTTATTCATCTACATGTATGAAATATCTCATTTTTTTTAAAATTCAAAAAGGTTATTTATATATTTTAAAATTTTTCATATTATGTTTAATTTAATTGTGGTAAATTTGTTGAAGATTTTAAAGGTTTAATTAAATTTCTGTGCAAAAAAAAATCCAGTAATTTTTGAATTCTTTAATGTAGCTATTGTCTGATTACTCTGAAGTGTCATCTTACATGTATTTAGTGTGCATGTCAACTTTACTTTACCAAAATTAAAGTTTCTTTGTTCTTCTGATAAGTTTCTCTGTCGTGTGCTTCGCAATTTTTGGAGGGTAATTTTGTTTGTCATGTAATCATTTACACTTCAGATTAAAAATCAATTATACCCCACGCAACAAGTTGCGTGAAGTATAATGTTTTTGACCCGTCAGTCAGTCAGTCCTGTTTGTTTTGTTTTTTTTGGTCAGCACAATTCCTCATAAACCGCTGCACACAATTTCGTCAAACTTTGCAGATATTTAGGACACAGATATGCATATTACCAGGAAAATTCCGATCCCTTCATATTTCCGGGAATTTCAGCACTTCGACTTTTGGGGGAGCGTGGGGTCTGTGAGCTTGCTCACTTTTTCTTTCATTATTAAAAAATCCGTTAGTTATGAATGATATCTCGTCAAAATATTGATATAATTTGTTTTCAAAAGGATACCTATTCTTTTACTCATACGTTTTATTTTATGAAATCAGTTAAAATTTTGTAGATGCAATATATACCCATTAAGTTCACGTCCTCATTTTACACATGTTAAATCAGCACGTTTTACAGGAAGTTTTTTTTTAAAATATTAAATGGACCTTTAATATAAGTTAATTTAAACTTTTACATCGGTGTCAATTTATCATTTGCTTTCAAGTACATCTTTTTTTTTGATAAGGAAGTTGAATGTTTTGTTAGTTGAAATCATACTTCAAACAGTAAATTTAAATCATTAATATGGGTTACGTTTAGTATTAGTTTATTCTCTGAAAATGGTCATATATGGAAAATAAACATATTTTTTTTCGTTTGATAAATATTCTTCTATGAAAAGTAACCAGAGTATATATTACTTTAAAAATAGTTGGATATGATATTTTGGAAATTTGACGTGCAGATAAGCGGTGAAACGATTAGTCTTTTACTAAAACTAAAGCAATTGAAATTCAATTTAAACATTTTTTTCAGTCCAAAGATGAGGCTTTTTATCCTATGAGGAGATACTACAGATTTACGGCCATGCTGGTGTCTTCTGTCGCCATATTGTCTTTTGTTATTACCGTTATCTGGACCATGTCGGTCTTTGGGCTAAGTAGATACTAAGCTTGAGTTGATGTATCTTGTTTGCTAATAAGCCCGTTCTGTGATCACAGATTGTTAACTACAATGGACAATTATCATTGATATACTTGTTTATATTTTTTTGACAATTTTTACGAGACCATCTTTAAAATTTGGTTTGATTGCCCTTTCCCGGCCTAATTAGTACATATAGGCCGATTCATATTAATTTTTTAAATCGCCATGATTTCATAATTATTTGCCGACTCCGGAAATAAGATTTTGTTAATTCAGCATGGTGTAATTTTCCGGGAAAAAATTTCAATTTCGTCGAAATTTTTTTTATTCTGTGTCAAGAGAGGGCAAACAAAAATATTTTAAGGAGGCCTGATGTATACCATATAGTTTTCTCAACTGTCCCAATTTTAAATATTTACGTATATAATGTTTGAGCTCCTATGAACTGTTTTGAGCAGCATGCATTTTTTAAATAAGTATAATCGTATTTTTATATAAACTAAATCAACTGCTGAGAAAAGTAGAATTTTTATGAAAAAACAAACAAACAAGAAACAGTGTGTTTTTATGGATGTTCCACGTGTTTAATGTAATCAATGATTTCTTGTTAATTTGTTTCTTAAACATTTTTGTGATATTTATGTTCATACTGTACATATTTGCTTTATCAAAGAATTAATCTTACATTCTGAATAATTTCTTCTTTCAAGTTTTCAAGTTTTTTTTTAAATTATCAATATTTCATATGTTTGTTTTGCTTCGCCTTTTTATAAACATTTAATTTATTCCCTCGAAATGTTTTTTTTCTTAGCTTTGAGAGATTTGTTTATTCATATTGAGTACCGGTGGGGTACATAGATACTGTATTGTAAAAATTCTAATAAAAATAAGTTATATATAGTAGTCTTTAGTCAAAATGTTATTATTTAGAGTCACTTGAACGTCATGCTCCAATTTAGAAGTTTTTGACAAATCGCAGAAATGCAGGGTTACTAGTAGTTACCGACGGATATAAATTTCTTATATACAAGAGAAGTTTGTAAAACACTAATGGCCCCCTCCCCCAAATTATTAGAATTTTTCTAAGTCGAGGAGGCATAACTGTCCAAAATAGCCCGATCGTATCTAAAAGAAAACTTGGCCTAGATATTTTATAATAAATCTGTATAACAAATTTCGTTTCAGTGTGTGCATCCTCTGCGAAGAAAATGAATGGAAACTGCATACAGTATCATGTAATGACATTTTTCTTAGTCCAAATGGACATACATGTAACTCTATCCAGAATAACCCAATATTACCCAAAGCAAAACTTGAACTAGATGTTCTTATGATAAATACCATTTCAATTCAATTCAGAAAATGAGCGGAAACTTGATGATGGATCGACAGACAAGACCGACCGACCGAAAGACAGCAGCAAATCAATTTGCCATCTCTTCTTCGAAGGGGGGCATAATAACACTTTAAAACACTCAAAGAATTCCATGGTCCTTGCCCCCAAGTAGCTTAGGGGTGGGGCAAAAACCAATTAAATCAATACAATCTACGAGAAATACACCTGTGAAAGATGAATGCCATAGCCCCACCCACTCAAAAGTTATTAGCAAGGTTAAATTGCCAACAGACAGACAGACAGGACAAAAACAATCTACCTCCGTTTTGATCCGGGGGCATAAAAATGTCTTCTTTAATCCTGGACATCAAGGAGTCAAATTGATGGCATGGATGTAATAAGCATTGAGTCTTCTTTCAACCAGAAGTCTCTGTTGAGACTGAAGCTCTACTGGTTTGTACTTATAGCAAAGGAAGAGAAAAGTACTTAAGCAGTTGGGAATTGAAACTTTTCAACAGCAATAAATAGAATAATGATCCTTGATTAAGTCTCTTTATGTTCATAGTGTACTCTACTTGCATGCCACATTATATTATAATCAGACTAAAACTGTATTTGGAGTAGCATTTTGAGAATATTTAACAGAAATTTCTATTTTTAGTAACCGTGGCAACACTGTTCATTGAAGTGAAAAACTGATAAACAGAAGTATGTACCTTAGTGTAGTCTACTTGTGTGCCAAATTTTATTGAAATTAGACCAAAACTGTTGGAGGTGTATCATTTTGAAAGAATTTCACAGAAATTTCTATTTTTTGTAACCACAGCAACACCGTTCATTGAAATCAAAAACCGATACACAGAATTATGTATCTTAGTGTAGTCTACTTGTGTGCCAAGTTATATTGAAATCAGACCAAAACTGTAGGAGGAGTAGCATTTTGAAACAATTTCACAGAAATTTCTATTTTTAGTAACCACGGCAACATCTTTCACCAAAATCAAAAACCGATACACAGAATTATGTTTCTTAGTGTAATCTACTTGTGTGCCAAGTTATATTGAAATCAGACCAAAACTGTAGGAGGAGTAGCATTTTGAAAGAATTTCATAGAAATTTCTATTTTTAGTAACCACGGCAACACCGTTCATCGAAATCAAAAACCGATACACAGAATAATGTATCTTGGTGTAGTCTACTTGTGTGCCATGTTATATTGAAATCAGACCAAAACTGTAGGAGGAGTAGCATTTGAAAGAATTTCACAGAAATTTCTATTTTTAGTAACCACGGCAACACCGTTCATCGAAATCAAAAACCGATATACAGAATTATGTATTTTGGTGTAGTCTACTTGTGTGTCAAGTTATATTGAAATCAGACCAAAACTGTAGGAGGAGTAGCATTTTTAAACAATTTCACAGAAATTTCTATTTTTAGTAAACACGGCAAAACCATTCATTGAAATCAAAAACCGATACACAGAATTATGTATCTTGGTGTAGTTTACTTGTGTGCCAAGTTATACTGAAATCAGACCAAAACTGTAGGAGGAGTAGCATTTTGAAACAATTTCACAGAAATTTCTATTTTTAGTAACCACGGCAACACCGTTCATCGAAATCAAAAACCGATATACAGAATTATGTATCTTGGTGTAATCTAATTGTGTGCCAAGTTATACTGAAATCAGACCAAAACTGTAGGAGGAGTAGCATTTTGAAAAATTGTTTACAGACAGACAGACAGACGGACGGACGGACTTTGAAATTTTGAAATCCATGGTGCTTCAGTCAGGGCAGGGCTATATAGATTATATTGTGGAAATGCATTATTTCTTCGAAAATCTTCTTCCCTGCTCCTGGGTATCAAACAAACAAAGAGATCGGTTCACTGTATGCATGAAGGGTCCTGTAGATATACCAATTGATTGATTAACACTTGATTTTCCATTTGAAGCATTAAATTAAAATAGAGGCTTAGTACTTTCATTCCCTATTAAAAATTTTCTCCTCAAAGTCCAGGTCTAGGAGAACTGGCTTGATTAAAATTGCATTTTTTTTTTTTTATTTTAAGGTAAACAGGTATGATTTAGTACTTTCAGTGAAGAAAAGTAATGTCAGCGCACTCTCTGATCTAAAAAGTAAAACATGTCTTTTAATGACAATTAGCCGTATATTAACATGCGCTTCGAATATGAGGAAATTTAGCAACGTGCTCACTAAATGATACCCTGCCTCCCTTATGATTATCATGACCAAGTTCCTGTTTTGCTCTTGGAGACCCGAAATAAGTGTCAAATCAAAAAGTATAGGAGGTGCACAATCATGGCATTATGAAATAAAGAATCTTTGAAAGTATCATTAAATCTTATTCAGTGGTATGGGAGGAGTTGCGGATAAGAGATGGATACCCTTCAATATGTCAGCAGTGTCAATGTTTTGCTCTGAAATACCAAAACTATGAGTCCGATCAAAAAGTAAAATAGGAGGTGCACAATGACACTATATAACAAAGATTCTGTAAAAGTCTCATTATTAAATTTCATTCAGACGTAAAAAAGGAGTTGCGAATAAGGGATAGGTACACCAAAGCATATGTAATTAAATATCCTCTCGGCTTGCAAGAGGGGGTTATAAATATTGTTAATGTCATGACTTCTGGGTTTAAAACATGAACCAAATCCAATGGTTAGAAATTTGTTGCCTAATAAAATAAAAAATGTATAGGTTGCCATATTTTTTAAAGTCGTAAGACACATATTTAACAGAAGTGTATGTCAGCATAAAAAAAATGTTATACCTTTAAAATGTGTTGCTTTACAAATCTGTTGCACAAAAGTCTAACATATCTCATGTTTTACTGAGGGGGTTGATAACAAGAGGCTTGAGCCACAAACCATGAGCCTAATAGCTCACCTAAACACTGTAGCAAGAAAAAAGCAAAAATCAATCCAGTATAATTGAAAATGCTTTTAACTGCATAAGTAGTCCATCTTGCACCTAAATGGGGGGGGGGGTGATATGAATTTACTTGAATCTACACTTACTTAGAATGCTGTAGTTTTTTCCCCTATACACTTTGGCCCCACTCTACCCACCTTGGTACAATTTGAACAAATTTTAATCTACACTACCCGAGGATGCTCGATCCATATTGATAAGACAAATCATGACTTTGTTGTTCATGACACGAATATTTTTAAAGATTTTTCCTATACATTCTTATGTAAATCTCTGATCATCTATTGTGGCCCCATCATACCCCTTGGGGTCATGATTTGAACAATCTTGAATCTACACTACCTGAGGATGCTTCTATAAAAATATGGCCGATCATGGCTTTGTTACTCATGTGAAGAAGATTTTCAAAGATTTTTCACATATTTCTTTGCAATACGTCCGTCCATTGTGGCCCCATCCTACCCATGGAGGTCTCGATTTGAACAAATTTAAATTTACCTTAAAGCTGAACACTACTCGTAAATAGGCATAGTCCGCCATATTTCCCGTTCTTCAACGCTCTCCCTACAACTCGTATATAAGGAGATTCATCTTTCCTAGTCAGTTCAATTTATTCACTATACATGATCCTATATAAACGAGTGTACAGACCGTACATCTTACAAAGCGTGCTACTCAATATCGAAGAAATTAAAAAAATTTTACGCATTTTTTCAGAAACAGGACAAAAGTATCATGGAAAATGCAGATCAATACATTATTTACAAATAGAAAATGCACATAAAAACAAGAAATAAACGCAAAAAATCTAAGACCACGATAGGAGTACTACATGTCGGTTCAACCACGGGTTTCGAGTGTGCAATGGGTGTAACGTATATTACGAACGCATTATGTTTATATACAGTAAAATATTTTTTGTCTGACAGTGCCTATTTATGAGAAGTGTTCAGCTTTAACTGAGGATGATGAGTTTCATCTTTTCTGGCTCAGTGGTTCTTGAGGAGAAGATTTTTTAGATTTTTCCAATATATTCCTCTGCAAAACTTTGATCATCCATGGTGGCCCTGGGGGTCATTATTTTAACAAACTTTAATCTACACTACCTGAGGATGATTCAGTATGAGATTCATCTTTCCTGGCCCAGTGGTTCTTGAAAAGATTTTCTCCTGTATACATGTATTCCTATATAAAAATTAGATCGTACATTTTGGCACCACCCTACCCCTGGGAGTCATGATTTGAACAAACTTGAATCGACACTACCTGAAGATACTCCCACATAAGTTTCATCATTCCTGACCCAGTGGTTCTTGAGAAAATTTTAAATTCATGCAACTTACGTTGTCCTAATTATCTCTCCTTGAAAGAGGCTGTGGCCCTTCCTTTGAACAAACTTAAATTCTCTTCACCCAAGGATGCTTTGTGGCAAGTTTTGTTGAAATTGGCCCGGTGGTTCTTGAGAAGTCGAATATTTGAAAAATTTACAGATAGACGGACGCCGGACAAAGTGTGATCAGAAAAGTCACTTGAGCTTTCAGCTCAGGTGAGCTAAAAATGTTTGACTGCTGAGTGAGATGTTGGAACCGTCGATGACATGTTGG